TTGTAGCATTGCCCAGAAATGAGAGAGTGTGGCATCCCAGACATTGATTTAAAAGGCACCCCCCATGGCACTGCAGTATAGGTTTGTGAGAATTGAGCTAGTCAGTATAGTAAATCCAGCCACAGGCTTGTAGGGTGTATATACACACTAATGGGGTAAATAGGTTTTAATGGGCTGTGCCGTTTAGTCTGAATCGCCATGTTGCACTGGGCAACAAGATTTGGTGCTCCCACAGAGTGCACTCACACACAGCTCTGCCAACACTGAGCTACATTTAAAACTCCGGTCCTGCTGTCCCTGTCACACTTTCTGCCAAGCAGTTCTGCAAACGAGAAATGAGGAAGAGATTTTTCTTTCTTTTCTTTGTACCTGAGCTTTTCCAGCCTTCACTCCGTCTTCATATTTAACTTTTCCCTCGTACGTTCTCTCCTTATAAATAAATGTTTCTATCACTACTACCTTTTAGTGCACCAGTAGCATGAAAGATTTGTGGTGAATGTTCCGCCCACACTCCACATTCCACGGCCTTACAGTAACCCGCATGCTGGTGGCTCTGTCTCGCCTTCCCCTGCCTCACTGGTGACAAAGGAGTGCAACTTGTGTGTGTTCTGGGAGCTGTGGGCAGGGTAACAATGTAAGTGTGTACGTGGGGGGGCAGTAACATGCCAATTCATCATACTTAATTACATCAGCTACAAAAGGGATTTCCCTCATTGACCCCAAAATTATGAATTGATGATTGTTGGTCTCAGTAACCCTCCAGCCCCCACTTATGTCACTTTAAATTACACTAAGCTGTAAATGACAATGACAGGCATTTTAAAAATTGTTGATCACTTATTATTTCCAGTGACAGCAGATTTGAACATAGAAGCAGAATTAGAAAGTGTGCTTTATAACCCTTTCCAGCTTTACATTTAGGTTTCAAATCAGACAAAAAAATATATTTTAACCACTGTCAATCATCAAGTCTCTCCAGTGTGGCTAAAACACAGGACATTAAACTACATCTCTGATGAGTAGACAGACGTGAAGTGTGAAGAGAAAAAGGTTGAGACGAGACACAGTAACTTCAAGTGAAGACGGAGAAAGTACGTGGAGCTGTGCCACAGTTCAACAAAAGCAGAAAGCTGTGACAATGAAAACACCACCATAGTTACTAATCAACAAGTCTTAAAGCTGTGGAAAGAAGATGAGCAGCTATGCTGCCACCCCATTCACAATCGGGATGTGCCAAGAAAAAGTGAAAAGGAGAGAACAAATGAAAAAAGAAAGTGAAAGACTGTGGACAACTGTTCAGAGAACAGAACATGACCAGATGTCAAATTGTTGCTGTTTTTTCAGTTTTCTTTATTTCACCCCACCCCCCTTTTTTAAGGACCACTCCATTTGTGGTGACTGTTTGTCTTCAGCACTATCACCATTTTTAAGTTCTGGTGAGCCCTAATGATGATCTATTTCTTTATTTGGTGAGTTTACAATGATACTCAGCCTTTGTTTTGTTATGAGTGATAAAATGTGAATTTTACCAAATGTAAAATTTTCAGTAACAGAAAGTTTCATTCATTAGAAAAGTAGTAAAAGTAACCTGACACTCTGGTTCAGTAATCCCTCCCCATCTGGCACTCGAAGCAGGTTGAAACAGACACTGACAATTATTTGCAAATAGACTGGGTCTGGGTATCTTTTCAGTAAACAGCAATAATCAGTTGCTTCACTGGGATAGATTTACTTCAAATTTGATTTTTGTTTTTTTAAATCTCATGCCTGGTGGAGGCACCAGATTTTATGACAGTGTTCACAGAGCTTTATTATTAATCCCTCTTGATTTACCAAGAAAAAAATTAAATCCTTACAGTAAAACCAAAGCTGCAACTTTACAGACTGTTAAACTATTGTGGTTTCCATATGTACCTCAGGACACCTTATTTGTTCTCAAGCATTTTACTTTCCATTGAGCTAAACTGGTTGAAGTTGCCATTAAGTCCCCACAGGAACTGGCTGATGTAGGTATTACTGGCCAATTTTAGGTGACTTTGATGGAGCCAGCATTAATTTTGTGGCTTTTTGGAAGCCAAAGTTTTGGCACTCTCCCTTTTTTCTCTTTGTGTGCCGATCCATGAGGAACTGGGGAAGTCGGTGTTTGTTTTTCCACCCTGTTTTACTTGGCCTCGTCGTGCCGGCAAGCACAGGAGACACCAGTAATAAAATGGACTCCTTATATTTAGTGAGAAGAACAGGGAGACCAGGCAAAATAAGCCTCAGGAAGTCAGAGCAGCTAAGATTTATTTAAACGTGTTTGCTTTGGAAGCTGCATGAGATACTGTAGCAAACAAGAGGGTGCGGCAGATTTTTCTATAATAATCTGTGCCACTTACTGTATATTGCTTTTCCATACTGGAAACCTCTCAGTCAAAATGTTATATATATATATACTCAAGCAATGGAAAGTTGACATTGTAATGACATTTTTATTAAGGTATCACCAATTTCAAATGCACAATAAAAGTTAATCTGCTATCGAACTATGATTTTCTTGACTTTTTTTTTTTTGTAAACAAAATGTAAATACATGTTACAGTAAAACAGCCATCTATGATGAGACAGCTGTACTGTATGCATGATGAAAACTCAGAGAACTTAAAAGAGACTCTGTGCATCCAAGTGGGATTAGGCTGGGCAGATTCAGTGGCAGGCAATAACCATGCTTTATGTCCACTTCATTTCCCTTGCAAATCAGACTTGCATTCTCAGAGTTTTCACAGTTCCCAGCTCCCTCTTTTTTCCCCCTATACAAGCCCCATGTCAGCCAGGCTCATTAGACAGGATGAGACTATTACCAGGCGAGTTATCCTGCTCCTAACAATGGGATGTGGTCAGGTGGTGGAAGCACCAGTTTCCCTGGGTTCATCTTGCTTCTCCCACATGTCCTCTGGGTCCAAGACCATGACTCCCTCCCTCCAATGATGCCCTTCCTTTTGCCCTCATGTGGCACTGTTAAATTTATTGTAAAATGCATTTTATTTCTGCATGTGAGAATCTACAGTATATACAGTATATACATGCTGTCTCGATGTGAACTACAGTTGCACTTGATTTGAGTATATTCTCATATATGAACTATTTTTCTCAACTGCAGAGTGAAAACGTTGCTTCCTTCCTTCGTTCATTCATTTAGTCCTTCATTCAGTATAATGTGCTGATGTAACTCAGTGAAGTCCCCCCATTCCAGTTCATTTTTTTAAGCTATTTACAGTAGGGCTTTCAAGAGGCCCAATCAGAAACTGTGGACAAGTTCCAGGGAAACAGGACCCAAGCACCCTGAAGAGCCTTTTTGCCTCACTTTTGTTCACTCCTGTTCTTTCTCAAGAGTTCCTCCTGAAAGTATTTGGCAAACACTGGTGGAAAAAAAGACTTTGAGGGAAGAAAAACAACAAGTCGTTCTTGAGCCACCCACACCCCATCTGCTGTGGTATTATCTTCTTTTATTATCTACAGATTATGTGCGCTGATATGATTTCTACAGTTTGGTCTGGTGGTCATTGTGGTTGTTGTTCTTGTTGTTTTTTTTGTTTGTGAAGCGCTGTGATATGAGACAGCAAGGGGGGAAAAAATCCTCCCCCATCTGCATCTAATCCATTCAGGACCCTCTTAATGGCTTGTCAGTTCCCCTTGCCCTTCCATTTTCTGTCCAATTAATTCCTTTCTAGCTCTCCGGATAAAAGGACACAATGGGGCCCCTCCACAGCATAATGAATCATTAAAATTCAGCAGCGCGGCCCTGGCACTTGGCTTCTCCCTGTGCTGGTTAGGGTTGGTTGCTTGGCATGCATGCCAGGGCCAACTTGAGCACTCTACTCACAGGACCAGAGGAGATGGGATCTCTCCTTATTCCTCTCTTGTCAGTGGTTTAACAAAAAAATCTGAACCTTACCATTCTGGTAGATGCACCCATAGCCACATAAGATGTGTGAAATAAAGGCCCAGTAATGTCAGAGGGTTCTTAGAGAGTGACATTAGAACTGGTGATAAGCTGTTTGCAGCAACATCCTACAGTTTTGTTTTAGACACCTGCATATTTATTAAAGGAAAAGCATATAAGCCAAGAAGCATTCTAGAGTCAAAGAAGTCAGGACACTGGCACTTCAACCCCATCCATGATTGAGTCCTAGTTAGCTGAACGTTTTGAACCCTTCTGCCATAAAGACAAGACATGACAGGAGCAGAACAGTTTTTGTCTAATCCAGAAAGCTGGTTGTGTTTTTTTGAGAAAACAAGTACCGTTGTTTAAATAAGTGGCAAACTTGACAATTTATCTTCAGATCCTGCTCAAAAATGCTTGATCAATGAATCTTTTCTATAATTTGAACATGATTAAGAAGGGATTGTGGTGATTGTTTTTATTAGCTCTAAACAACTATTGTGGCTAGAAAGAGGTCGGCATCAGCAACACAGAGAGAAACACCTTTCAGAAAAATATCTGCAAATTTGGAAAGCGGTTCTGAACCATTACCAGATATGATGGGTCTGATAGGAGGTTGAGTGAGGTGTTTATGGACAGTAGGAACACTTGACCCACTGGACCAGAGGAGATAGCATCTCTCCTTATTCCTCTGTCAATCATCTAACAAAAAAAAAAAAAAAAGCAAAGTGTCAAAGGACCTGTAAAGTCGGCAGGTTCTGACAGTGGCACTATAAAACGTAATAAGCAGACAGACTTACATGTGCACCTGATTTGAGAAGCATACATTTGAATTTCCCTGGTTTCCCCCAACAGCTGTAGCTCACAGTACAGATGTTGGACAAGAAATCCGTTTTTAAACAGCTGGTACCAGGCATGAAGACAAACCCATAAGAACTGCTCACTTCAATTCATTCTAATTATGAAGATCATTTTTCAAGTATTATTAAAGAGCAAGAGTGAAACTAAAGATAGATGCAAAAGAGTGACAAAGACAAAAATCAAGAAAAAGTATTTTTTATTTTTAAAAAATGGCCAGCAAATGGGTTAGCTGTGCATGTGTGAATGAAACTCTAGTTAATAGAACAACAATAATTTTCCCAGCCTTTCTCAAAATTATACACCATAATATACAAAACACTGTTCTGTGGACAAAACGTGGAGCACGATGCTCTGGACATTTTTCATACAGCATCTCACAGAACATTACAAACCAAGGCTGTAAGGAATGATATCAAATTAAGAATATAATCGGGAGCAGGTTAACGATAGGAGTTTGTGGTGTGGATTACTGATTGTGTGCTGCCTGAAGTCTGTTAATAATTAAATTTCATATTGAAATACTGACATAAAGCATTAGAAGGCACAAAAATGTTTTGCGCAAGACTATAGCAGTGAGTTGGCACTTGGTTGATGAGATAAATATGGGCAAGTACTCAAACACAATTTCCTCTTTAAATACTTTTCTTTGCATTACAGAAAAAGTTCAAAATGAATTTTTTTTAATATCATTGGTGTGCATTATGTCATGGGATATGTATCTCCTGCCCAAGCAAATGGGTGACATGTACAGTTGCACGTCATCTCCCTGACACACGCACACTAGGATGCATGTATGTATACATATGTGTACAGGAGGTCCAGCTGACATGTCACTCAGAGTGTGTGGTGTTATCTTACCCCATTTCCTTTAACCCTAGATCATGACTAATCGCAATTTGCCAAGTGTAGCTTTCAGACACCTGTTCTGTCCTGTGCGAGTCTGTTGGTCCTGCTCCGTTTTCTTGCAACTTGGAATGGAGATGTTGCTGGTAATCAGTCATCAACGGAATGATACCAAATGCATTGAACCTATACCATCCTTCACTTAATTTACCTTGTTTTCAGTAAGAGCCAAACAATACCGTAAATAACCAAAACCCACATTACATGTGTTTATCTACTAAAGAACAAAAAAAAAGAAACCAATAATACATGAACATAAATACATAAGACTTTTACGTCAAAATGACACTATAAGATACATATGAGCCATTTAGTTAAGACTGATCCACTGATGCAAATGGCCAAATGTGCTGTGTTATAGCTCTGGTCATTAATGTAAATTTTACTGCAAATTCACAGAATTGGTCCTGTGTATATTCTCCAATGTATCTGCGTCTCCATCTGCTTCGCAATAGAACTGAGCCAAACTGTTTCTCTCCTACACAACTCAGTGGCAGGCCTTTGCTTTACCTCAAGTGTGCACACACGTGCAATCGTAAACTGGAAAAATGGGAGATGTACAGGATGTAGGTGTAGGCAACGTGTCCTCATGGAGGAGTTTGGCTCACCAACAACACAATTTCTCTTTGTGTAAAAAGTCTTAAGTGTGTTTTCATTGCAACAATATAACTTTGTATAAAATCAGCAGGCACTTTTTCTTTTTGTTTCACGTTCAAATGGTCTCAGGTAGCCTACTACCTACTACACACTTCCCCACCTGCTCCTTACGTCCTTCATTAGTGCATCAATCTGAATGAGTCTTGGGCTTGAACTGAGTGTTTCTTGTCCCCCTAAGGTCGAGACAGCGTGGTATAGACGGGTTGGTCCCAGCTGGAAGCGGAGGGGCTGTGAGCAGGAGCCATCGACAGACTGTTAAGGATCGGGCTGCCATAAGGTCGCCTGGATGAGTGGAAGTAAGGGTACTGGTAGAGGCTAGAAGGGTAGCCAGAGTAAGGGTTGTAATAGCTGGAGCTCTGGAGGTCAGTATAGTCACACTGAGAGCTGGAGAAAGAGGCCGCAGCTGATGTGGCTGAGGTGACACAGGCCTGGCTACTATAGGAGCTGTAATCAGAGTGTGAGGGTGACTCATGGGAGTGCTCGCTGTAGTGGCTGGGGCTCAGTTGTTCTGTTTTAATATGGAGCCGGTGCTGGCCCACCTCGCTGGTGGAAGGTGAGGAGGAGGACAAGGTGCTCTTGCGGTTCCATGTTGACCCATTGGCACTTGCGTGACTGTATGAGGAAGTGTAAGAGCCGCTGGGCACTGCAGCCTGCCCGTGGCTGTGGTCTGAGGGCAGGGTGGAGGAGCCTGAGGCGTGGCCATTGAGCGGGAGGTACTGGTCAAACTCGTGCACATCGAAGGTCTCCATGTTGCTGATGACATCAGTGCTGAGCTCAGAGATGTCTACATTGCTGAAGTCAATGTTTTGCCTGCTGCTGTCAACAAGACGACGGCCTTCATGTTTCAGATCCTGCTTCATCCCGTGGTGTAGGTCTGTCTTGGGAGTAGTGGGAGGTGTAGGGGGACCGTGGGGCTGCCCTGAAAGGAAAATATCAGAAATGAAACATGAGGGCTCATCACAACAAATTTAAAATGATTCAATTTACAGCAGCCTAAATTGATTTAACCCTTAAAATAAAACACAAAAACTTGTGTTTGCTGCATCATTTGTTTTAATGTAACAGCATACCTGCATGTTCAGGGTGGTGGTGTCCATCAGTCATCCCTGCCAGTCCTCCCATCCCTGGTTCAGCTTTATACATATGATGTGACAGTTCTGCTCCTGAATCTGAGTCGCTCTGGCCTGGTTTCACATTCTTTCGTCGTCGAGGCTGGTACTTGTAGTCTGGATGATCTTTCTTGTGCTGAACCCGAAGCCTTTCTGCTTCATCTACAAATGGCCTCTTTTCACTCTCAGAGAGCAAGCTAAGGGAAAAATATATATAAAAAGTGTCCAAATGTATTGAGTCAATAATAAAAACTAGTAGCAATAATAACGAAACCAGTATTTATTTATTTTGTAGATGGGTTTTGAAAAAGCAGGAGAAATTCCCTCTTTCTTTAACCATTTATTATACATTCAAAAAACCAAAATGTTAATTTAGTGTAACCCTATTTTTGCTGTTAACTGAACATGTTTTTTTAGTAAAACTGCATGGCCACATCTCTAGCCATGACCACACACCGTCCTTAGTTACTTTAATTTATGCTTTCTTTCCCTGGATTTCTCCTTGTAGTAAATTAACTATTTCCTTACCGCCAAAGTTTCCCCAGGGTCTTGCTCAGTTCGGCGTTGTGCAGGTGAGGATACTGATCCGCTAGCTTTCTGCGGGCCGCTTGCGCCCAGACCATGAAGGCATTCATGGGTCTTTTGACGTGAGGCTTACTCTTCAAAGCTCCGTTCCCTCTTACGGGCATGGGCACTAAGGACCAGTCGTATCCTTTGAGCACCTGAGAGACTGCGTCCCGTATGCAAGCTGGGAACCGCTCGTCATCCTCGGAATCCAGTTTCTTGCCCAAGCCGGTCAGCAAGGCTCCTTGGCCGTCGGAGCCTGTAGGTGAGGACGGAGCATCGGAGTCGGACTCGTCCTGGGACATGGAGCTGTTTGTGCCCGATGGACTGCAGGGCTGGTCGCTGACACACTTGTCATGCTCCTCTGTCATTTTTAACATTTTTTTCCGCCCCGAGAGAAGGAAAATCCGAAAACAATCTTCAACTAAAACAAAAATCAGACGTTACCAGTAAATTCAAGAGCGCAGCAAAGTGGCTAGTGCGCTTTTACGCACGGTGCGCCACGGGTAAATTCCGGTAAATTTCAGTCAATCAGAGTCCGTCGATTTCCTTTTGCTTCCCCGTGTATTTTGTCGTTCCTCTTGTTTTCCTAGGTTGTCATGTGAAGTGCGGTCCTGAAAGTTGTGGTCCACAATGTGAGCTGAGGAGTCACACGTTACAACAACTTCAGCTGGAGTTTTAAAGTCGTCACTCCACCTTCCTTCTCGGATTGGTTGGAATAAATCGCCACTTTCTAACCATTGGCTCGTTTTTTATGTGGGCTTCATTATTATAATTATTTTGTTTTCTTTTTTTTTAAATCAGTGACACCTCTGTTTTTATTAAAGCTGCACACGTTCTGTCACAAACGAATATTCTGCCATAATTTTATGACGCTGTTAGGAAAAGTAGTGAGTTAAGTAAGAAAATACTCAGTGTTGCTATTATTAATACAGCAAACATAAATATCTTTATTATATAAATGTAAATATAATGATAAATTATTGCAATATAGGTTGATAATGTTTCTACTGTTATACTGTAACATTCTGATGCATATACAAGCTTTTATGTAATTGAAATATTGTAGTTAATCAAATATTTTTATTTTGATTGAAGTACATTTTAATATTTCACCATCAAAGTCGCCTAATAAATGTCAAAAATTAATTTTAAAAAATGTATAAAACTATAAGTTTAAAATTTAAAAATAGTAAGTTGACTGAACTAAGTCACGCGGACAGTGATTGTACATGTTTTTTTATTTTTTTACACTTCTTAGGATGTAAAGTAATTTCTTCATTTAGCACAAAGAACTTATAGCTGTTGAAGGGATTTTGTACCAAAGTAAGTACAAACAGCATGCAAACCTGTCTCAACTGGCCTTGTTGATGTTTAAATGAGGGTACGGACTGAAATCAAGATCAACCTTTGTCGTGGTTTGTCATACTTTTACACTTATGAGAAAAAATAACCATAACTTAATATATATTACAGACACACAAAGTCTCCACTATGAATGGGCTCTTCAAAATATAAAAAAGAAGACTCTCTGGAGAGTGTTAACTCAAACAATGCATGCTGGGAAGTCGGCCACCCCTAAACAAAAGTGCCATATTTTCTGGGTTAAACTGAAATGCATAAGTCGGTCAGCTTTTCTGACACCAAGTTAGAAGTGAGTTATTTAAAATGGGTGTTGATATCAGGCTAAAAAAATTGAATTAGGTCCACTAATTATTTTCAAATCCAATGTTACTATTTGTAGTGTGGGTACTGCACATACAGTATGTATAGTAAATTGTAACAATCATACAATAATGCTTTTTAGGTTTTCAGTGTGTGATGTTAGACGCTATATTTTAATCTTTCCTCTGTGTGTGTCTGTGTGTGTGTGTGTGTGTGTGTGTGTGTGTGTGTGTGTGAAGATCTGAATCTAAAAAATGATCATGATTCAAAACTCATACTCTCACTGCTCACTCTCGACTTGTAGCAAGAAGTTGTCATGGATAACAAAGCCTCCAACTTCGCAGGTCTGCGTGAGCCTAGTTACTTAGAAAAATGTTCCTAATATAGAAGAGGAAGTTAATATTTCCCAGCAGTTTGTTAGTGATCCATAAGTCACCCCTCATCACCAGTGGAGCAGGATTTTTATGACACTGGAGAAGAGATAAGAGGGTTGACAGAATCACTGCCTTTGTTAATGGTGCCTTTGTCTTCATGTATTGCGGGATGATTTTTATCACAGGCCTACCCATGAAAAGACAAGGTATGTTTGTGCTGGATAGCAGTTTGCTTTGCTCGATGCACACTGCAGGTGGCTGAGGGAGTAAGAAGAGTTTATAATATGGAAATAATAGAAACTGTGGCTTGTAGAATAGAATTTGCTGCAAAACAGCTAATGGTTTTCACACTAAGGTAAGATGTTTCTTTTGTTTTTATAGATTAACAATGGGTTTAGAAGGACAAAGGACTTGACTTTGAATGAAACCATATTTAATTTAAAAGGGTCCCGCCTGTCTCTTATTATAATGTAACCCAAAATAAGCTGCTGTTGCTGTTAACTTCCTCACTTTGTCAGTCTGCCTTCCTAGCAGCTGCTGTCAAAACGCTCACTTGGGTCAAGTTCAGTGCATGTGTGTGTGCGTGACCAGACAAACAAGACGGCGGCGAGTTGTCAAACATGCATGACTCTGGTTTCATTCTCATCCTGCTGCACACATGGGAAAGTATTCACTGTGTGTATAATGTGTGTGTGTGTGTATGTGTGTGTGGCTTATAACACTCAGGTAGGTAGAATAGCACTGCGTTGCTTAAGCACATGTCATTTCTTAATAAATTTACAACAAATCTAAACATTTTGGTAATTAGAGATATCGCATGTCTGTCTCTTGGTTGTGAGAGGAATAATTTCAGCAACCTGTTTGTCCTACATGGTTTTTTGATGAGCTAGATAGTGAGTCCTCCATTTAACAATATATTATTCACTGGAACATAGACAAGACATGTTTGTGTCATCTACTTAGAAATTAAATTAATTTTCTGGTCATTTTAACATTTCCTTTAGTTTTTTTTCCTCCAATGACATTTTTCTCTGCTTATGTTGCATGTAATGCAGGAAATCCCTGCTTTCAATCATTTTTGAAACCAAATCAACTGTTCCCGCCTGAAGTCCTGTCTCCCCACCACATGTCATGGTAATGCTTTCGTCAGGGTTAAGGTATCCTGCCTGCAAACAAACAAACAAAGCAATAGTAACCAAACCAGTATGTCACAGTTCAAAAAGTGTTTCATCAGGTTAGTATTTAATTATTGCCAAATCATCTCAGGTAGAGGAACACCGAAGATAAATCCAACATGTGCAACATGAGTGACGGCTGCTCTCAAGTTCATCTAGGCTGTGAGATTCTCAGTTTCTGGGTAGACAGAAAAAGATGAAGAGAAGGAAACAAATTTAATCAGACTCCAGCCTTTCCCCTTCATGCCTCCCTGTATTGTGGGGAGAAACTTTGGACAGAGTTTCTGAGCTCTTGGCTCTTGATTAAAAAAGGAAGGAAGAACAGAGGAGAGGTAACCGCGTATGAACTTTAAGTGTCCCAAAGAACGAAGGAAGGTTTTGATTTTCCTATTTTTGCAAGATGTATCTGAAAGAAAAGAACCAAATAAATATTTTATGATTTTTTTTTTCTCAGGGCCTTAGTCAAGCATGCTAACCCATGTCTCCTGGGACCTTGTCACTTCAACCCTATACTATATGTAAATTATACTCTCTGGCTTCTAATGTGCATGCAAAATCAAATTACACAGCTACCCACACGACTCTTGCCCCCTTCGGTCTCTGCTTCTGTGTTTTAATGCACTTATGCAGTTTTCTTCACTCTGGCCAAGTTTTAGATGTATTAGGATGGTATGAACCTGATGCGTTCCTAAAGGTCATCAAGTTTACAAAAAACATAGGTTGGATAAATTTATGCATCAAACGAAATATCTGCAAGCTGTATATTCAATATTTAAATTTCTATTTGTGTGGAGGACGTATAAGTTCTGCACCATGAGATTCCTGAGAGAACTTTATGCAACGTTTTCCACATGTCTGAAAACTGTGGAATCCCATGTCTCCACCATCACCACAGAGCCCAAACAGCAGGCCTTCATTCTGTTAAATAATCTCACTGATTGCACACTGCGTCAGTGTAAACTTGGTGAACTGTAGAGACTGGCATGCCCTCCCTCTCACCCATGCAATCCCAACCACTGTCTAACCACATGTGGAACAAGCTCCTGGGCTGCTAATAAGCCATATTTCACCACTGTACCACATCAACCAGACCTCTTCTATCTTTCGTTTCACACACACAGACAGGAGGCAATTAGTGCAGAATTTTCAGATGCAGCAAATGCATCTGTCAGGCAAGGATGCAGGCTTCAGATACTGTAGAATATGAAGGGAAGAAACCCCCACTATGAATATCATCAAAAACATGTCCAGTATTTTACAGCCCCGGTGAAGTTCTAGGACCTGGGATTGTTGTATCTTTACGTTTCAGACGTTATTCCAGCCAGGTTCACACACACTTTAAAGCAAACTCTGAGTGATGGATGTACCTACTCCTCCTTTCTGTTCCATCTCTACTCATCACACCCCCTCTGGAAAGTGGATAGTGGATGTTTTCCACTTTCGTCTACAGCCAAATGTATTTTCCAGGTTGTCTGCTTAGTGAGGTTGAGGAGACAGAGGAGTTTGACTCCACTAGTTCTAGTCACAGTTCCACCTTCACAGCAGCTGCTGTGTGTTAGGACCTGCCATTAACCCCTGATCCCGCACTATCCTAAATTAATTCTATTAAAACACCATAATGAGGGGTTTACTGGCCCAGTTGCAGGTTTTATTTAAACCTATTAGCAGCTGAAGAGTCATGCAGGGTGAGTAGGGATAGAAAGGAGTTTGGAATATATTGCAGAGGGAGTGTTTGAGACTGAAGGAAACAATTAGCTCCAAACATCTCAGGGTGTGTTTGGCCTCTGTGTCAGGACTATAAAAAGAGCTCAAATGTTTCCAGATCACTGGCTGTTTTCTCCCTGACATATAAGTGTCTTGCAAGATGGCAGTTTTCTTGTCATAGATCTGTATATTCTTATGAATTAGATTATGGACAGAAGGGTTTTGGAGCTGTTGTAGTAGCAGGTCATATTTCTCCTGCAAACTGTCAGTAGGTATCCTGGTTGTGCACTAACTTCCAAGAGCATAAATGCAAGAACACTTCACATGTACATAATGGTTTTAGTTGTTGACATAAAGACTATGTTTGAACGTTGCCTAAAGGTGAAGCTCAGGTCTAATTACTGGTGAGCAGATCAGCAAACTTCCCTTGATTCCCTCATGTGCAGTGGAAATGTCTGTTCCTGGTTATTTTCTCCTGACACAGCAGCTTAAATGCTAAGATGTTAAGCAAGGACAACACTTCTCATGGTTTGTCTCGTCCCAGAGCAGCGTGGGTGTATGTGGGTTCTTTTTTTTCACTTTCTGATCTACACCCCCCTCTTTCTGTCTTTTCTCTTTCTCTCATCTTCACAGCATATGTTCTGGATAAAAGCTGCGGTGTGCTCAGTCTTCCACATCGTCTTCTTTTTAGATCCCTGATTCTCATAAATCATCTCCCTAATTTGCCTGTGAATTAGATTGTATAGGACATGCAGACATGGAGGATATACTGTACCTCAGAGGCAGTGAAAGAATAGAGAGCCTGCCTTTTGACTTTACAGGAAAATGGTGGCCACTCCACAAAAGCAAGACTATTTAGAGGATGCGTCTGGATGTGGGGACTTACAGTGCTAGGATAACTGGTGGATTGTTCTTATTAGAGATCATTAAAATGAAAATTAAAAAGCTATTTGCTTCGTTCATCCTTTTTGTCATTTTGTGAGCCCTGGAACAGTGCATGTGTATACTCATTTACACATGCAAGTCCATGCAGACAGAGTGTAGCAAGTGAGTGCACACAAGTGGCATAGCATGAAACCTAAATCTCTTGTGTACAGTTCATATTTTACAGGATAATTTGTAAGCTATTAAAATCATTATTGGTGAAGTAGATCAAATTCTCCAATTACGCTTTCAGTATAGCAGCCAAGACTTTCAATATGAGACGTAGCTAGTCTGTCTCCAGCCCGTCTATAGCCTCTAATAGAAACGTGTCACTGAAAAACACATTACACGCCCACACCTGCTGCTAACCAAAGGAAGTGCATAAATGTGTTGGGATCATCTGAATTTATGTTGTAATGTTTTAGTTGATATTACAACTTTAAAATTATTTCTATGGGTTTACTCCATGTGGGTTAATTTTCTGTTTTTGATCAAAGATAATACCCTCATTGGATGGTTATACAGTAAAATACTGCATCACTTCTGTCAATATTGCCAACAGTATATGCAAATTTACAGGATGACTGTTAGATAACACTTAACATGTTGGTTTATGAGTAGGAAGGAGGAGGAGGAATGTCTGAAGCTGCAGAAATATACCGTCTGACTTCTTGTGCATGCTGTTTGTGGTCGGTGTATCTTCATCTCTCACCCGAAAAATAGCATTGGAACATCATCTAGAAATTAACACCATGCCCAGAAAATGGTCAGCTACAGTAAAGAGCCTCAGATCTGGTATAAAAAGATTCAAATGAGTCAGGGTGCATGGGACTGTAGCTCTGCTTTACATGTTCTCTGCTGCACCGGGCAGCAACACTTCATTCTGTATTAATATTGGAAAAACTTTATTTTTAGTTGCACAAGTGGCTCAGGGCCTTGATGATGGTGCAGAGTGAGGCAGGCCAAAAGATGCACACTCATTCTTATTAGATAGTGTCAGGGAATGGCTTAATGTTTAGTGATGACATTATAGTTTTTACTATTTTTGAGTAATTGGTAAAGAAATAAAAGTTTTTCTATGGGTAATGTGTAAGGAACTGATTACATTTTTAAATAACTTGACACTGCATGTCATATATACCAAGTCAGTCTATGTAAAATAAATAAATATGAAGATGGTGCAGGATAATTCAAACTCTGATTTAGACTTACAAATATCCAATTTCTCTCACATCCTGAAATATTTGTATCTGTTGAAGATCACCTTGACTTGATGTCTCATGACATCTTTAATCTATAGGAGACTGTATGGTTTCTCTACTAACTGTCATGCAGACATCACTTGCCTCAGGCAAGGGAAAAAAGGAAGCACTTGCTAACCGTTTCCATTGGTTGCTAGTACTGCAGGGTATTTCCTGGTAGCTACTTCACTATTTCCAACTGTTTGCCTGCCTGTTGCAGACATTCAAAGCAAAAAAGTGAAAAGACCGTCTTGCTTTCAGGTGTTGTATATAAAGGGAAATCAAAACCCCAGTGCTCAGAGCACTGATGGGTAAACTTGGACATTGCTTTGTTGTTGGGGCATTTGGGCCGTGGCTGTTTGGTGCTGTGTGCAGCTACAGGTCGCATGGTGTGGGAGGCCAAGGTCATTAAGATCACTTCCTGTTCTGTTCAAAGAGGTGCAAAGGCTGTAGCTGGGAACAAAAGAGTACACGGATGTACTTCCATAGCACAAAGGATATAAAGAGCCTTTTCAGTGGACCACAAAGTCTAACCTTTTCATTCACAGTGGAATTTAACTTTCCCTAGAAGTTGCTTGCTTTGGAAATGTTGTGCTCTTCTCTGCCTTTTGCAGTGTAGTCACACCAATTCTGACCAGTTGTATTGCTCTGATAAGTAGTTTGTTTTATGCTGCTTAAAAGCTGACGCTTTATCAAAAAAATCCAGTGTTGCATAAAGAGACACAGATCAGTTTGGTTGACAAGATCATCTTCGGTGAGGTTCATCGTGTTTAACCTCTACTGACTGGTGACTCTGTTCAGCTCTGAGAACTATCAGTGCATATATGAAATTACATCTGCTGACGATGGTCAAATCAACAACATCGGATTCCACTCACCAGTCACCTTGGATTATCTTTCTAAGTTGTGTATGTGTGAATGTGTCTCTGTTCTCTGTCACTTCCACCTTCAAACATCATTTGTTATCTGTATGGTATGTCCATGCATGTTTTCATTTTTACTAAACATTTTCTACTTATTTTAGATAAATGAAGGGAATATTAGAGGTACCCCCCGCCTACCTCCTGTGTCTACTAATGGCTGCCCCTGGGAAAGCTTTGGCTACATTTAACACAGAATGTAAACCTGCTGAGCTAGAGGATCTCTCATTTAACACGATGCTACTTCATGGTGCTCTGTAAAATCAACTTTGTTTTATAAATTATATATATATAAAATGTCATTCTTGGCTTATTGAATGATTGTTGCATTTGTACTTGAGAACCCTGAGCTCCCTTGTTTGGTTTTAAGGGATTAATCCGTCATCCACCACATATAATTTAACAGTATGACTCTCCAAAGCCAGACGATGCATCTAACAGTAAAGCAGCCGAATACTTTTAGCTGGAGAAAAACAAATTATATACTGTGTTTATATATGTGTGTGTGCACTTGCATGTTCATTCTGGAATTTCTGCAACACAGACCAATTTCTGAAGCCCATGAATTCTTCGCATATGACTCCATATACTTTTACATAAATTTGTGCCAAATTTAATCAGAACCAATGACCCAGCCACCACCACCCAAAGGCATACCTTTTGTTCCATGTGTGCTTTTATGGCTTCATACTGTGTTTGCATTAATTTTCAAAGATGCCTTGCATACACCTTTTAAAACAGCCTGTTTAAATAATATTCATTTGTCAAGCCATGAAACCTCCATCTGCATATATGCATGTGCACACCTGTGAGCATACATTCATGTCAGAGTGAATTAGTTTTGCTGTTTTATTTATATATATATATATGTGTGTGTGTGTGTGTGTGTGTGTGTGTGAGTGTGTGTACCTGTGCCTGCTACTGTAAAGATATACCATATGATCTGCCAGTAGAGCTGGCACACCAAGCAAAACTGATATTGTCCCTTTCCTATTTCTGTCTTCACTGTCCATCTCCTCTCTCTCCTCTCCTGGTTGCAGTTGTATTTGTGCGCCTTGGGAAGATTACAAAGAGGTGCTTTGTGAGGGGATGCAGCTGCTGAAATCCGACTAGATCCAGCTGAAGAGAGAAGGGAGCAGGTGGGTCAACAACGCCACCCTGCCGTTCCCAGAATATCAGGCTGCAGAGCTTTGCCTCCCTCCCCCATCCACACACACACACACACACACACACGCACACATATATATGCACACACATCCTCAGAGCACCCCTACCCCACTCAAGCACACACAAACAAACATTATACCATGTCAAAATACAAACATAGTAACACCCACAAAACAGCAATTCAGCAAACTGCACATGTCAAAGGACTGCCTCTGTGGAAATACTGCCTACTCAAACAAGTGTACATCACTGGAATCATTCATACGGTGGAAGAATATTGGCAGAAAGTTAGAAAAGCAACACAAATAATTACAACCACACACAAGCCCTAAGTGCTGCCTCACTTAAGGCCTTCTGCTGATACTATGTTGTGGCCTTATAGTCCAACAGCAGTATTAAGAAGGGCAGAAAAAGTGCTGCAGAAGGTAGAGGACGATCCTGTCAGCTTTCTAAACTTAAGATGTTAACAAGTCAGTGTTCTGCCAAAATGTTGGATTTCTGCTTTGCAGTGGGGACACTGGTAAAATGACCCTCATCCGGCTTTGTGCAGCTGAAAAAGAGGTGGTAGGAGATGGAAAGTGGAAAGAAATGAAAGAGAGGAGAGGAGGCTGTGTAGGAGAGGGTTCTTGTTTTGGTGGAGGTGGATCAGATGTCACACCATCTTCTTTGAAAGGGCACGATGCTGGACACAAAATGCCCATATTGGCATTATTATTATTTTGTCAAAAAAAAAGAGAACAGGAATCTGTAGACACACTGAAGTAGTTTAGAATTTGAAAAATGAAATAACGTTCTGACATTTCTTTATCATCTTCATCTTCACCCTTCATCAACTCCAGCTCCATACATGCTGCTTTTTTCGCATGTTCATTCTCTATGGAAACGCCAAACAAAATATGAAAGAATTTTTGTATTAACATATGCTTTCTCTACTATTGCATTTTTAAAAACAAGCTTTTTGATAATCATGAAAGCAATATGTCAATAAGAGGCAAAGGAGCTGGGAGTTACAGAAAACTGTGGGCTCTGTGAACCGTTCTTCACCTTTATAATGATGCCTCTCTTATTGCAGTCTTACGAATCCTTAATGAGAGTTTTGACGCACATTGCTCCCTCCCCCACACCTCAGTATACCCACCCCCTTCATGTGTGCAATAATTCAGCCACAGTGATAACAAGTCCTTTTGTCCCTTCCTGAAAATGTGTGAATGTCATTTCATACATACCCTGAAGGAGCCCACTGTCCCACAGTTAGTATTCCTGCTCTGGGACACTTGCAAACATCCATGTCACTAGTAAAGAGCTGTGCAAGCAAGTGAAAAACAATCACTATGATCACCGAGTCATACTAATTAATGTCTTTGCCTTTTCTCATTCAAAGACCAGTCACTATCATTGGCACTGTATGTAACCAGGAACTTATATTTATGGTTCCTGTCATATTTACTGGAGGGCAGCTGTTTGTTTTCTCTGTGAAGGCCACCAGTCTCATCACTACCTTGACACTATTGCCCTTATTATGTTCATTTTCCCAGCACAAATTTTCCATCCAGTTATGTATAGGTATGTTTGTGTAAATTCTGCCGCTCAGGTGTCTGTAGCATTGTCGAGACCCTGAGCTCGGTGACACTCCCACCCCGCAGGCTTTTCTCAGACTCGTTGCCTTTTGCACCTGAGTGAAAAACACAGCTTCCACTCTTCATGCAGTGCTCCAGGTTATTTATTTTCTTATCTGTCAGCCTGATTCATGTGACAGTAGAAACAACATATTGTGAGTTCCTCACTGGCTCAGATTACAGTTTGTGTGGAAGTGTAAGAGAGATCACCATTAGAAGGTGGATCTCTGAAAATGCAGACCTCCAGCCATCTGGAGTTCCATCTCTCCACATGTTTTAGAGTGTGGGAAGCTGTGAGAACGTGTCACTGGTCTATATCAAATCACTAAATATTTCATCAACTCTGTGCTCTCTTGTGGGTGTGTGGAAGGTATTGTTTAAGTGTTGTTTTGTGTGTGTGCGTGTTTTTTGGCAAATTATTCTCCTATAGCTTGTCATTTAATTCATTTACATCAATTCATTTGTCATATTAAATTCGTATAAGCCCTGCAATGTGCATTCATTTTGAAATTTGACCAAATGAAGTCATAAGCCGTTGATATGGCACTGATCAGACCCGTTCGGTTTACTGCTGTGTCATATTAACCAGCTCCTGGCAACTGCGGAACATTCACCACCTCTCACCTCTCCTCCATATCTTCACTGTGAGAGTAATGGTCTCCACATTGCCTAGCAAATTGTCATGCTTGATTGCCGCCATTCTCACATCTGCTTCCTGGAATAGTGGCGGGGAAGGCTCCAGAGAGCTCCCAGTGGAGTGTGGGGCATGTGTGCTCACATATGAGGCAAGGGTTTGAGACAGGGGCTTGCCGGCGTGGTTTATTTTCAAAGGGTATTGCTGAGGATGTGTTGAGAGGTTGAGGAGTTGAGAGAGCTGTCTGCGTTCTGGTTTGGGTTTCGCCTGCCTGGGACACAGCTGGGGGTTTGGGGTTAGGAACCAGGGGAGGGGGGCTCAACAAAGATTTTTTTCGTTTAGACAACAGCACAAATAAGAGAATATTTTTCTGTAAGTGTGCCTAAAAGAAAAACAGAAGATGTGCATAATGTTATGTTAATATTTATATGGAATAATTTAGCTTTTGTTGTGATATTGTGTACCTAAATATCATGTGAGAGGAAAAACATGCAAACAACCAAACTGAACATTTAGCAGAACTGGGAAGTAAACCATTTACATATGTCAGTCCCATCTAACTGTCATATCTGCTCACTTCATTTCCCTATTTTTCAGCCACTGCAGTAACACGTGTAGCGATAGACGCCGTTCCAAGTGAGCTACTTTGCATTGGAAAAAGGCCCAAGCCATATGAGAAGTGCACAGAGCTGAACTGAGCTTATTTGGTTATTCAAAGTTGCCACTTTCTCTATTCTGGCCAACATCATCATATAGTACATGTTCCACCTGTCACAGGAAACTGGGAAATGTTGAATGCAAAATAAGATGCAAAAGTGACAATTTGCATTTACAGTACAAATTCATCTGCAGCAGCAGAAACACCGAAGCTCTCACAAGTTAGACCTGAACACTGATTAACATGGCGTGTTGAACATATAAGGGTGCTGTGCGTGTAACTAACTGCTCCGAACAGTTCTGAACCATTTCCTGTCCTTAAACTGTAAACATATTGTTTTCATCCATGATACACTGAGGCCGGGTATAAGTGAAAGAGAAATGCAGTATATATGTAAAGTTGGTCATCAACTCAAGCAAATGTCCCCCCACAAATATCTTCTCTATGGAAATTTCTAATTTGAAAATCAAGCAATGATTGCAAGCAGAGCAACATGCTGATTAGTGTCATTAAAAAAAAACAACTAAAAATATATTTGAATTGTAATTTGAGGAGCATTTCCATAAATGGTGCTCATGTAGAATATGAAAATATGGTGACCAGATATCGGGCTTGTATGATGTTGTGCAAAGCTCTGAGATTGTCAGGAACCTGCAGTATGTACATTCTGTCCTTGACTGACTGAATAGAACCACCTGAAATTCTACTGTGTGCTCACTGAACACCACAATTGAATGGTCTGTCCACTTTTCTAGTTTGCACTTTACTGTTGTCATCATCTGGCATTAAGCAGTATCATCTATTGTGGTTACAATCATTATTTTTTCCCTTCACATTCATTTCTGTGTACACTACCAGTCCAAAGTGCCCAGACCTTCCACTGGCAGCGTGTACCATATACCACACTCTATACATAGCACATGTACACCTACCATCCCAGTAAGCAGTGTCACTATACTGTACTGTACATTTAGAATATAAATAGGAAAGCAGAAGATAGACAATGTCCTTTTTATTTTATTTTTAATGATTCTTATGCCTTCTCTGCATTTGCTGCATCACGCCTGCCAAACATTGAGCGCTACCATAGTGTTACTGCTGGTGTTTTTTCAATCAGACTGGTGTGGACCTGGGAAGCAGAATATGTGCCACAGTCGAATTCAGGTGCCAAGAATATTATTTTCCTTAAGTGCTTACAACTGCAAAAACCAAAGTTGATTCCCGGAGACTGAGAGTAATTACAGGCCATTTAAATAGGAGAAAAAGGCAAAGTAGCAAGTTCTTCACTTTTCACAGACCTGGCAACACATTATGCGGTCTGTCTAATATATCCTTTATTTGAATGTTTTAACTTTCAGTTTGGTCATTTATATTTGCCATGTGTGATTTCTCTGAGAAAATGCCAATGGCAGAACGCAAAGACTATAAATTACAGAATATGAATAAACAAAATCATTGTCTGGAATGAAATAGATGATAATATTCAGTCCCTAACATTTGTCTGTTCCCTAATTATCCTGAGTAGGTTTCACTGACAGGCGATGCATCAGCTTGAACGAATGAATGTTTAGTTGTTGGTTTGTTTTCATAGAGATGCCTGAGTGTGTCCTGTTGTGGTGGAGCAGGGGGGCTTCACTTGGCTTGTCAGAGTCTGACAGTGCACCTGTCGGAGAGGAAGGCCTGGCTAATCGCAATAAGCTGGCTGTACACGTGTGCCTGGGAGACCCTCGGCAGAGGAGGAGGTGAGGGCAGGCCTGGCCTAAACTGTTTTAATAAAAAAAGGAGGATGTGAATAAAGAATTCCTGAGACGATTCCCCCAACTTCCCTCTGCTCGCACCACTCCTTGGGTATTTCCCTTTCCTTCACACCCATCTTCAGATATTAGATCATTTTCATTGTTTTCCTTGTTAAACCATCCAGCTATTGACAAAGTTATTGCATCATTGCTCACTCATCTCTTCTGTGAAAGCTGTCTTCCTGGGAATCCCTGACCTGCCACTGGCTCCCAGAGGTCTGACGGTGCACAGGCTATTCCTCGGTCTTCTTGATCTCTCTATCTCTCT